GTGGAGGTGGGGGCGGAGAGAGTAGAGAGTTGAAGGTGGAGAAGAGCCGGTGAGGATTGGAGGAGAGGGCCTTGATGAGGGTCAGGAAGTAGGCTTGTTTGGCAGCGTGGAGGGAGGAGGTGTAGGTTTGGATGGCAGATTTATAGCGGGTGAATGCTAGTTGGGCTCTGGTTTTGCGCCATAGTCGCTCCAACGCACGACTGCGTCGTTTGCGAGTTTTGGTGTGATCAGTCTGCCAGGGCTGGAGCAGTTGGGGTCTGATGTTTCGTGTGGTTAAAGGCGCTAGCGAGTCAATGGCAGTTGACAGCGAGTTGTTATAGGCGGTCATGGTCAGGGCAGGACAGGGGAAGGATGCTGTCGTAAAGTTGATCAGCTGTAGAGTGGAGGGGGGCAGGGTCCAAGGTTGTGGAGGTTATGGCCGGTAGTAGTATGACATTTGGAGGGGTAGGCGTTAGAGGACGAGGAGACAGAAGGTAATAAGGTTGTGGTCAGAGAGAGGGAAGGGGGTGTTTGTGAGGTTGTGGGGAGCGCAGAGATGGGAGAAGACAAGGTCCAGGATATTCCCGACGGAGTAAGTAGTGGATTGTATGCACTGTGCGAGTGCAAAAGAGGAGGTTAAGTGGAGTTGGGATGTGGCCGAGTTGTCGATGTTGACAGGGATGTTGAAATCCCCAAGGATGATGGTGGGTAGCTCGGAGGAGAGAAAGAAGGGTAGCCAGGTGGAAAAGTCATCAAGGAAGCGGGATACGGGTCCAGGAGGCCGGTAGATTACAGCAATCCTCAGGGGGTTGGGGAGAATAGTCGGATGCAGTGGGCCTCGAAGGAGAAGGATAGAGAGGGGGGGTTTGGGAGGACTCTGAAGGTGCTCTGTAGTGACAGGAACAGACCAACCCCACCACCTTTACGACCGTTGTGTCTGGGTGAGTGGGTCCAGATGAGACCTCCATAGGAGAGTGCTGCAGGGGAGGTAGAGTCAGTGACTTGGATTCAGGTTTCCGTGATCGCTAGGATGTTGAGGGAGCGGGAAAAAAGAGGTCATGGATGGCGGTGAGCTTGTTGCACACCGACCCAAGTGGTTCTAAAGCCTAAACACATTGTGTCACCATAGGAAGCGGCTTCTTGTGGTGGTACATTGAGAAAAAGGAGGAGCTAGGAGCATCAGCAGGGGCCCTCAAAAAAGGTTTAGCACTGCTCTGTGCAAATCTATTGTACAGGGCAGGTAAGTGTAACAAGTTTTTTGTTTAAAAAAAATTGACTTTAAAAATCACTTTAAATGTTTGAAAAGTTTTGTATTAGGTCAGATTTCTACCAGATTTTAAGTTAAAAATTGATGTTTTTGTTGCATATGTTTGTAATTACATGTAAATCCACACTGCCGCACTAAGGAATTTCTTTAAAACGTCGTAGCTATCTGAGCTTCCAACTAATGATATACCTGCTCTTACTATTTATGTCCCAAGTTGAGAGCTCAGAATTGGTAGAAACCACAATGCCACGTTATGGCAGCTCTCATATACAAATGTATGCAACAAAAAAAATATTCTTTAAAAAAAAGTTAAAACCGTTTACTAGACTATACTGCTGTCAGACTCTAGAGCAGGGGTCGGCAACCCCCGGCACAGGTGCCAGACATGGAACATGGCCACATTTGGGATGGCATGCGAGAGCCATCCTATTAGACTCACCTCCCGCACATGAAAGCCAGGGAGCAGCTGCATACAGGAAAGCAGTGGGGCAAGTTCACACCCACCTCTCCTCCCGCAGAGGGTTAGTGGACAGCCTTGTGCAGAACATACTGCTTTATTCATGCTTAAAGTGATACTAAACACTGTTCATTTACATCATTCTTTCTCTGTGTGTGGATGATGGCCCTGTAATTTGATTAAAAAAAAAAAACCCCACCTCTGTGACCAAGCCCCAAAGGCAGAGCAAAATGCGTCATAGGGTTGTGGACAGAACAGCGACTGAGGCCATTCCTCAAAATTGCACTTCTGGGGTCAGTTGAGCAGCGTCCATCCCTTCACGTGTTTTGGCTGACACTGGAATTGCTCAGACTCATGCTCCCCTCTTCTCACTTGCCGGTGGAGTATCCTTTTCCTTCCATCCACAGCTTGGAGTGGTGTCATAAGGTATACTTTTCTACACCCTTGTTGACAAAATTGATGCCCTTAATCATGCGCTTTTATTTTCCCTTGACACCTTTGCCCCCCCCCAAAAAAATGTGACAATCTCATTTTCCTGTCTGGCTCTGTGGTATAATGAGCACCTGTGATCAATGAAGGCAGTCTCATGGAGACTTAAAGTGTTACTAAACCCACAATAGTAAAACCAGTCTGTATATGCAGTAAAGCATGCGTTTTAATCCTCTGCATTGTGTAAAAAGGCTGTTTGACCCTTTCTTCCACTGTCCTCAATCCATTTGCTGATAGAACAGAGCCTTGAGGGCAAAGCTGCACATGCTCAATTTGGTGTGTTTTGCTAGTGAGTTTTTTGTTTTGTTTTTCTTTGGGAGGGGTGCTTAAGATCAGCACAGGGCCAATCAGCACTGTCTAGACAGACGGTCAGGGGTCTTGCAGCCTCATAGGTCAATCAGGGGAGAATTAAAACTCCTCCTACAAGGTTTAACCAATGCTCTGCTGGACACTGATAGAAGTCACAAGACTGCTATATACTGCTTATGAGAAAAGATATTTAGCATTTCTGTGTACTGTGGGAAACCAGATATAGTGAATGCAGGGTCCGGGGTTTATTAACAACACTTAAGCGTAGGTGGTGCCATTCTGGCCTTTATCAGGTTTGGAAGAACTGTTTGTGTTACTAGAAGGGGTAAATCGAGACTGCTAGATCAAACTATTTCTCTAACACATTCTTAAACTTTATTTTTTTTCTTGAAAATTAACAAAAGAAGGCATCACGCGCTTCTTCCACATCACTTCTTGACCCGCCCAGTTTTGCTGGTTCTTCTCTCTGCCACTTCTCTCTGACTCTGCATCTCTGATCTTCCACCTGCATACTTGATCCTATTCTCACTCATTTATTTAAATCCTGTTTTAGTTCTCTATGTCCTATTATTCACAATATAATAAATTTATCCATTAGCACCGGTTTTGTACCAATCATCCTCAAAATTACTACCATCACCTGTACCAAAAAAAAAAACCTAACATGGCTCTGAACAATTTATACAACTTTCGCCACATATCTAACTTGCCTTTCATTGCCAATATCCTCGAGCAGGCTGTGATATCTCAGTATCACCCGACTTTAACCTATATGAACCCCTCCAGTCTGGTTTTCGGCAACTGCCCAGCACAGAAGCCGCCTTGGTCAAAGTCACTAACAACCTTCTGTTCACTTCTGATGCTGGCTAACTATTCTTATTCTACTGGACCTTCGCTGCCTTTGATACTGTTGATGACAAATCTTTTACTCTCGCCTTGAAACCATATTTTGAGTCTCAGAATTAGCTTAAGTTATATCTTATTGATCGCTGTCACTTTGGGTCAACTTCAGACTGGAATCCACCAAGAGACACAATCAAGTTCGGTGTTCCTCAGGGCTCAATCCTTGGTCCCTTACTTTTTGGCATTTACATGTTTCCACTTGGCCAACTGCTTCGATCATATGGGCTCAATTATCACTTCTATGCGGATAACACTCAGATATACATCCACACTAAACCGGATTCTACTTTGGCTGCTTCTCTCCTAACTGTATCTGTGATATAAAAACATGGATATGCCACAATTTCCTTCAATTAAACTGTGACAAGACTGACATCATGCTCATTGCCCCCCCATTAATTATGTAAGGCCACTCCTGGTATCCTATCTATGGATGACATTTGTACTTGAGCGTCAGTCTATATTGAAAAATTGTTGGGTGATATTTAATGCTAGTTTAACCTTTAATTCACATGAACAAAATGTTGTCAGAACATCTTTTTTCCACTTGAGAAATATTGCTCAGGTGCATTCTATGCTATCATACACTGTAGCTGAAAAGCTGATCCATACATTTGCATTCTCCCGTCTTGACTACTGCAATGCTCTACTCCAGTGGTTCTCAACCTGGGGGTCGAACGACCCTTTTACAGGGGTCACCTAAGACCATTGGAAATTATTATATTCCAATATTTCCAATGTGTAAAGAGCAGCTACTGTGTAGAAAGCAGCTACTGTGTTCAAAGCAGCAGTATTGGAGGTAAAACGACACTCATGAATTATAATTACTGGATAAATAATTTTATGGTTGGGGGTCACCACAACATGAGGAACTGTATTAAAGGGTCGCGGCATTAGGAAGGTTGAGAACCACTGATCTACTCACTGGTGTACCTAAATCCACTGTTAAATTGACTTCAATATGTACAAAATTCTGCAGCCAAAACCATTTATGTTGCAGATTTATTAAGTGCTCTAGGCTCATTAAAATATTTATTTCTTTAAAATAAAGGTTCAGTTGTTCATTAGGGCATCATTCAGACTGGAATTGGCACCCATGTTGTGTGGAGGCCGTGTTTGTTATGCGCCCTGAGCTGCATGCAGAAGTGGATGCAGACAGCAGCCCCTGAAAACACAGGTATAATGCAAGACAGTGTAGATATGCATTTTATGTTGGCTCCCCTGAAATTAAGGCCAGCACACACCGAAATAAAGATAACAAGCTCACAGAAAACATCCAAAAAATCCAATTTAATGTGGTGGGGAGTGCAATTTATCAGCTCATGGATATTGTCATGACACATTTTTAGGAGTTATAAAACGGGACAGCTCGTTTACAGGGTCTGAATTTGAATTCTATCCATTTAAAAGTCTGTACAGAGAGAAACCACTAACACAAACATATTTACAAACAGTGGGAACAAATAAAAATAAACCATTCATTACTGTTTGTTTATCCCAAATAAAAAATACAATTATCAAAATATAGGCTAACTTTATTTGACCGTACTGAAACTTGATCATGGTATGTTAAGGCTTCAAGGTAGTTCCAAGTGTTTAAAGCTCATCACGATCCCTTTTCAGTATAGTATACCTATATTCACTTGGTGCCAACTTCTGGAAGGAACTTTCAGGGGGACTACTTGCTATATCTTGAGTTTGCTATTAAAAAAAAAAAATATATGGTAATCACTTTTAGATTTTTTTTTTTTTTACATGAGAAAAGCTTATTCACATCCAGAATAAACATTAGCCATAACAATATGCACATCCAGAATAAACATTAGCCATAACAATATGCACATCCAGAATAAACATTAGCTATAAAAAAATATACACGTTTCTCTATGAAACTATTCTGTTTTCAAGGCTTGTGACTCTTTACTATCCCTAGCTCAGCATGCTTCATGCAGTATTAAATGTGCAAACAATCTACTAAACATACAGAATGCACATCTGAAGTGTAAAGGGATACCTGGTTGTAATAAAGGCAAAAGAAAATTGTGCGCCTGCCAAATAATGAGAATAATAATAGATGAGCTGCTACAAACATAAAAAACAGACTAAAACAAATGAAAGTGTCACGCTGCTAGCATAAATCAATACATATAAATATACGAACAAAAACGTGACTGATAGTACCAAAAGATGATAAAACATAAAAATAAATGCAATTCTTCAAAAAAATCCAAATAAGTGACAGATCTTCCTGATGGTGGTTGCACCCAAAATCCTAGTGCTGTAAATCTTCAATACATGTGAATCATCACAGTGAAAAGACTTCCAGGTGGACTCTCACCTTGGACCTGTATGTGGACGCAGGTCAAACTAAGCATCTCCCCTATTAGTGGGGGTAACACATAACTTGCTCCTCTGTGCACTCTTCCCCTCATGAATCATTGGACCTCACGCTGCCACGGAGTGAGAAAAGTACTGCTGATAACCAGCAATTGTCAGTGGACAGATCGGCACTGATGATCAGTGCCGCCCAGGAGTGTCCACCAATGCCGCCAGTCAGTGCCCATCACTGTTGCATATCAGTGCCGCCCAAAGTATCAGTGCCCATCATTGTTGAAGAGCAGTGCCAGCTCATCAGTGCCGCCTCAAACGCACATGAGTGAAGGAGAAAAATTGCCTGTTTGCAAAATTTTATAATAGAAACAAAGAAAATTTTTGCTTTTTTGTTTATAGTGCAAAAAATAAAAACACCCAGCGGCGAGTAAATACCAACAAAACAAAGCTCTATTACTGTGAAAAAAATGCTAAAAATTTTATATGGGTGCAGTGTTGCATGGCTGCACAATTGTCACTCAAAGTGCGACAGCGCTGAAAGCTGAAAATTTGCCTGGACATGAAGGGGGTATAAGTGTCCTGTAGGCTAGTGGTTAATAAATAAATGCCTTTTAAAGAAGCCTACTGCACTATGGTCTACTTTGTGGTTGTCGAGCTTTATCCACAGAGTTGACTGTCCTGAAATCAGGTGCCATTTGTGATGGTCCAATGATTCACGAGGGGAAGAGTGCACAGAGAAGCAAGTTATGTGTTACCCCCACTTATAGGGGAGATGCTTTATTTGACCTGTGTCCACATACAAGTCCATGCGAGAAGGTGAGAGTTCAGCTGAAAGTCTACGTTCACTGTGGTGATTCACATGTACTGAAGATTTACAGCACTGGGATTTTGGGTGCAATCACCAGCAGGAAGATTTGCCACTTATTTGGATTTTATTTTAAGAATTGCATTTATTATGTTTTATCACCTTTTGGGACTATCAGTCACGTTTTTGTTCGTATATTTATATGTAATAATTTATGTGACACTTTCATTTATTTATACCTGGTTGTAAGTCAATTAGAGTATGTCATACAGATTTGCTACCTACACTGACATGTGTGTCTAATAGTTGAATTTCTTTCCTTTGGGTTTATTGAACTCAATTTTTATCACTAGGTCAACTCTAAATTCAAAAGGACATATAGTGCACCTGACCTTAGGATGATTGCTTAACCTCTTGCCGTCCGCCTGCTGTTTATAAACGGCAGGGCGGTGGCAGTCCAAGGTCGGGTTGCCGTTCCTAAACGGCACCCGCCTTTTCTAGCTGTGCGCGCTCCCTAGGAGCGCGCACCACCGCGATCCGGTGTCCGCTGTGTCCTCCGGACACAGTGAAACACCGATCGTCGGACGGGACCTCTGTACGAGGTCCCGGTCATGTGATCACTGATTGGCGAATCAGTGATCACATGCAAAGTAGTAAACAAGATGTCACTTGTGACATCATTGCTTACTACGTGTGAAATCTGTGAATGATCACAGAGGTCACATGGTACAAGGCTATTCACAACAGCCTTGTACCATGTGACAAGCTGTGACCAATCACAGCTCACTCAGTATTTCTCAATGACTGCAAGAATGCAGACAGAGAGAAAGAGAAATGATTGCTTTTACATCCTATATGGGTGTAAAAGCAATCAGTGTAAAAAAAAAAAAAAAAAAATCTTCATCACCCCCCACAAGTAGTACAGTGTCACCATGGTGACACTGTACTGCTAGGGTGACAGTATGTAAAAATAAAAAATAAAAATAAAAAATAATATAAAAAAAATAAAATAAAAATGTAAAAAAAAATGTTTAAAAATTATAATGTTTGGTTATAAACTAATTTTGATTTTTTTTTTTTTTTACTAAAAAAATAACGGAATAAATTTTGGCCAAGATTTAGGATGAAATATTATTTATTTGCAAAATTTTATTAAAAAAAACACTTTTTTTCAAAATTTTTGGACTTTTTCATTTACATAGTAAAAAAAATAAAAATCCCAGCGGTGAATAAATACCACCAAAATAAAGCTTTATCTGTCTCAAAAAAATGGTAAAAAATTCATATGGGTACAGTATTGCATGACCGCGCAATTGTCATTCAAAGTGTGATAGCGCTGAAAGCTGAAAATTGCCCTGGACAGGAAGGGGGTAAAAGTGTCCGGACAGGAAGTGGTTAAGTGTCCGGTCATAGGGATGCAATTTGGCAATTGAAATCGCATCTAATGAATGTGAATGTCAGTGTCTTATCATTTGAGATTTGCTCCAGCGCGATTTCTAAAGTAGTTGTTGCATTACTTTTTTTTTTCAGTTTTGTTGTGATTTCACATACATAGGCACTGAAATAGTTGAAAATCTTCACAAGTAGCAATAAAAAGTCTTCAGAAATCACACAATTTTAATTTGCAGCAGTGTGACCAGTGACTAAAGGTCGGTTTCACAGTTTTCCCTAAAATTACTTGTATGGAATCCATCAACACCAACCATGCACATGATGGAGAAAGACCCCCATATGGAATAATGTAAAGAAAATACTAAAAAACTGCATTCATTCTTTTATTACGTCCTCAGAATCTTCAAGGTAGCTGTGGAACACTTTTGATCCCAAGTACAGTTGTGCTCAAAAGTTTACATACCCTGGCAGAAACTTGTGAAATTTTGGCATTGATATTGAAAATATGACTGATCATGCCAAAAAATGCTCTTTTATTGAAGGATGATGATCATATAAAGCCATTTATTATCAAATAGTCGTTTGGCTCCTTTTTAAATAATAACAGAAATCACCCAAATGGCCATAATCAAAAATTTACATACCCTGGAATGTTTGGCCTTGGTACAGACACACAAGGTGACACACACAGGTTAAAATGCCAATTAGAGGTTAATGTCCCACATCTGTGGCTTTTTAAATTACAATTAGTGTCAGTGTATAAATAGTCAATGAGTTTGTTAGCTCTTACATGGAAGCACTGACTAGGCTAGATACTGAGCCATGGGGATCAGAAAAGAACTGTCAAAAGTCCTGCATAACAAGGTAATTGAACTTTATAAAGATGGAAAAGGACATAAAAGATGTCTAAAGCCCTAAAGGACAGGTAGACCAAGAAAGATTGCAGGCATAACTGACAGAAGAATTATCTGGGATTCAAAGAAAAACCCACAGACAACCTCAAAAGAAAAACAGGCTGCTCTGGAAAAAGATGGTGTGGTTGTTTTTAACCACTTCCAGTCCGGACACTTTTACCCCCTTCCTGACCAGGGCAATTTTCAGCTTTCAGCGCTATCACACTGAATGACAATTGCGCGGTCATGCAACACTGTACCCATATGAATTTTTTACCATTTTTTTGAGACAGATAAAGCTTTATTTTGGTGGTATTTATTCACCGCTGGGATTTTTATTTTTTTTGCTATGTAAATGAAAATGTCCAAAAAATTTTGAAAAAAAGATTTTTTTTTTTTTTATACAATTTTGCAAATAAATAATATTTCATCATAAATCTTGGCCAAAATGTATTCCGTTATCTTTTTAGTAAAAAAAAAAAAAAAAAATCCAAATTAAAAATAAAAAATATCAAAAATAAAAATGTAAAAAAAAATTTTTTTTAAATTATAATTTTTGGTTCTAAACTATTTTTTTATGCATACTGTCACCCTAGCAGTACAGTGTCACCATAGTGACACTGTACTACTTGTGGGAAGTGATGAAGATTTTTTTTTTGTTTTTGCACTGATTGCTTTTACACCCATATAGGATGTAAAAGCAATCATTTCTCCTCTTTCTCTCTCTGTCTGCATTCTTGCACTCATTGAGAAGTACTGAGTGAGATGTGATTGGTCACAGCTTGTCACATGGTACAAGGCTGTTGTGAATAGCCTTGTACCATGTGACCTCTGTGATCATTCACAGATTTCACACGTAGTAAGCAATGATGTCACAAGTGACATCTTGCTTACTACTTTGCATGTGATCACTGATTGGCCAATCAATGATCACATGATCGGGACCTCGTACAGAGGTCCCATCCGACGATCGGTGTTTCACTGTGTCCGGAGGACACAGCGGGCACCGGATCGTGGTGCTGCGCGCTCCCAGTGAGCGCGCACAAGCAGGGTGCGGGGAGGCCGTTTATAAACGGCCACCCGACCCTGCAGTGCCACCATCCGGCCATTTATATGCAACGGCCGGTCGGGAAGTGGTTAAGGAGTACAGTACGGTGATACTTGAACAAAAATTAGCTGTTTGGCCGAGGTGCCAGAAAGAAGCTCTTACTGCTCCAATGCCACAAAAAAGCCCGGTTACAATATGCCTGACAACACCTTGACATGCCTAAACAGGCCTTTTTGTGTCATTGATGCAGTAAAGGCTTCTTTCTGGCACCTCCACCATCCAGCTCATTGTTGTTGACGTGTCATCATATTGTGCTCCTTCAAAACAACTACACTGTCTTTTTCCAGAGCAGCCTGGATTTTTCTTGTGGTTACCTATGGGTTTCCCTTTGTATCCCAAACAATTCCTCTGGCAGTTGTGGCTGCAATCTTTCTTGGTCTACCTGACCTTGTAAAAAAAAGTAAATGCTTCAAACGGAATGATCAATAAATGTATATATGAATGGTAACAAACATAATCAGCAAAACAAAAATATTCAAGAGGAATGAGTTGGGTTCACTGAGGATTAAAGTGTTTAAGCACTTCAATAGCAGACACTTTCACCCTCTTCCTGCCCAGGCCAATTTTCAGCTTTCAGGGCTATCACACGTTGAGAATTAATCATGCAACATGGTACCCAACCGAATTTTTAAATATTTGTTTTAAACAGATATAGCTTACTTTTGGTGGTATTTAATCACTGCTGTTTTTTTTATTTTTTTGCTATAATAGCAAAAAATACTGAAAAAAAAATTAGATACTTTTGCAAATAAATATTAGTAAAAATAACCAAAATCAGTGTATAATATTTAATCTGTGTGAAAGTAATACCAGTCTACAAACTGGTATATATATTTGAAAATTGATCAATCCTGATGTGCTGACTGCCTATCTCATTTCTTGAGGCCCTAAAATGCTAAGACAGTCCAAATACTACCACCCAAATATCCCCTTTTTGGAAAGTAGACAGGCCAAGATATTTAGTAAGAAGCATGGTGAGTTTTTGAAGTTGTAATTTTTGTGAAAATTCTGAAATTAAATAGTTTTTTTTTTCCCCACACTTTTTTTTTTTTTTATAAACACATACTGTCTCCAGAGCAGTGCAACATCATGACTAGTGTGGCAGTGATCAGAGATACTAACTGGTGGCAATATAGAATTAAAAAAAAAAAAAAAATGTACAGGTGAAACTCGAAAAATTTGAATATCGTGCAAAAGTTAATTTATTTCAGTAATGCAACTTAAAGGGTGAAATTAATATAGGAGATAGACTCATTACATGCAAAGCAAGATAGTTCAAGCCATGATTTGTCAAAATTGTGATGATTATGGCTTACAGCTCATGAAAACCCCAAATCCACAATCTCAGAAAATTTGAATATTGTGAAAAGGTGCAATATTCTCGGCCCAATGTGTCCCACTCTAATCAGCTAATTAAGCCATAACACCTGCAAAGGGTTCCTGAGCCTTTAAATGGTCTCTCAGTCTGGTTCAGTAGGAATCACAATCATGGGAAAGACTGCTGACCTGACAGTTGTGCAGAAAACCATCATTGACAGCCTCCATAGGGAGGGAAAGCCTCAAAAGGTAATTGCAAAAGAAGTTGGATGTTCCCAAAGTGCTGTATCAAAGCACATTAATAAAAAGTTATGTGGAAGGGAAAAGTGTGGAAGAAAAAGGTGCACAAGCAGCAGGGATGAACGCAGCCTGGAGAGGATTGTCAGGAAAAGACCATTCAAAAGTGTTGGGAACTTTCACAAGGAGTGGATTGAGACTGGAGTCAGAGCATCAAGAGCCACCACACACAGACAGATCCTGGACATGGGCTTCAAATGTCGTATTCCTCTTGTCAAGCCGCTCCTGAACAACAAAAAACGTCAGAAGCATCTTACCTGGGCTAAAGAAAAACAGACCTGGTCTGTTGCTCAGTGGTCCAAAGTCTTCTTTTCTGATGAGAGCAACTTTTGCATCTCATTTGGAAACCAAGGACCCAGAGTATGGAGGAAGAATGGAGAGGCACAAGGACCCCGAGTATGGAGGAGGCACAAGACCCCGCGTATGGAGGAAGAATGGAGAGGCACAAGGACCCCGCGTATGGAGGAAGAATGGAGAGGCACACACTGCAAGATGCTTGAAGTCCAGTGTGAAGTTTCCACAGTCTGTGTTGATTTGGTCATCTGCTGGTGTTGGTCCACTGTGCTTCATTAAGTCCAGGGTCAACGCAGCAGTCTACCAGGAGATTTTGGAGCACTTCATGCTTCCTTTCCCAGACGAGCTTTATGGGGATGCGGACCTCATTTTCCAGCAGGACTTGGCACCTGCCCACACTGCCAAAAGCACTAAAACCTGCTTCAATGACCATGGGATTACTGTGCTTGATTGGCCAGCAAACTCGCCTGACCTGAACCCCATAGAGAATCTATGGGGCATTGCCAAGAGAAAGATGAGAGACATGAGACCGAACAATGCAGAAGAACTGAAGGCCGCTATTGAAGCATCCTGGTCTTCTATAACACCTCAGCAGTGCCACAGGCTGATAGCTTCCATGCCATGCCGCATTGAGGCAGTAATTGCTGCAAAAGGGGCCCAAACCAAGTACTGAGTACATATGCATGCTTATACTTTTCAGAGGTCCGATATTGTTCTATGTACAATCCTTGTTTTTTATTGATTGCATGTAATATTCTAATTTTCTGAGATTGTGGATTTGGGGTTTTCATGAGCTGTAAGCCATAATAATCACAATTATGACAAATCACGGCTTGGACTATCTTGCTTTGCATGTAATGGGTCTATCTCATATATTAGTTTCACCTTTTAAGTTGCATTAATGAAATAAATGAACTTTTGCACGATATTCTAATTTTTCGAGTTTCACCTGTATATATGGCATCCATTCATTCACAGTCATTCATTCATTATTGTGATCACCTGACTTGAATCCAATATAAAATCTATGGAAAGAACAAATGATGAAGACCTTGTGTGAAAGAGTGGGCCAAAATCACACCTCACACCTTCAAGTTGACTTGAAGCGGTTATCACCAACAAAGGATTTTGTACGAAGTATTAAATTAATTTCAGTTAGCATGTTCATTACTTTTCCTACTTGTCATTCCATTTTATTGCACAACTTAATTTCTGAACTTATTTGTTTTGGTTTCTTTTTAGGTATGGATTGCATGGGTTGTTACCAACATGTGGTAAACATTTCCTATCAATAGCGCCTTTAGAAATATATTTACGGAGAAAAATGGTGACGTGTTCAATACTTATGTTACCCGCTGTACACACACACACACACACACACACACACACACACGTTGTGGACTTTCCCACAGACCAAATATATACACTGACTTGGGTTACTTTTACCAAAGAAATGTAGCAGAAAACACTATGGCCTAAATTTATGAAGAAAGATTTGCAAGATTTTATAACAAAAAAAAAAATGTTGGCCTTTTTTCCTTTATACTGAAAATAAATAAATTCAACGGTGATTAAATACTACCCAATTAAAGCTTTGTCTCAAAAAATAAAATATATTTAATTTGGGCATGACTGAGTCATTCAAAATTGTGACAGCACTAAAATCTGGGCAGGAAGGGGGTGAAAAGTGTCCAGTCTTGAAGTGGTTAAAACGAAACAACAAATTGTTTTTCTAAGGGCATTGTTACAATTTTAATGTAGTGGCAGGTGAAGATGAGACCAATGCATGTGAAGCATAAGAAGCTCCCCGTCTCCACTTTTTACCGATTCCAAAAGTGTCATTTTCTTATAGGTGGAGTATGGTGGGTTGAGTTTTCCTCCAAGTTCTTATGACATGGACACTAACGCCAATACCTAATGGCTATACTTTTTAACACAGTTCCTCACTATCTGAAGTTTTCAGTGTTCTTGTCTACCTTTGCATGTTTCAACAACTCCCTTTACATGCTCTACTACGCAAAATAAATAAATGCAAACTGGAAAGTGAGGTGGGTATCCCTTATAGTTTTTAAGCAGTGCCCCAAAAACTCAAGCAGGTATCTCACCTATACAATCTGTGAGTGATGCAAGAAACGGTCAGGTGTTTTATCGCTCTTACCTCTTTTGGTGGATTAACCCTTTAAGAGAACAAGTGATTTTTGTCCTATTAACACACATATAAGCAGTTTCTTGAACTATACCTGTCCAGGAGCAACATCAGTTGGATCAGGTCCATGGTGAAATTCTCTATGTAGCTTTCCAGAGTGTAGATCTAATACAAACTGCTTTAGTCTACCTGAGATCCTGAAAATGATTTAATGCAAGAGAAGACAAGGTTATAATTGATATATTCAAGCATACTGCACTAAAAGTGTAATTCTAGGCAAAACTTTTTTTCTTGATAAAAGGGCTATCAAGTTTTTAATGGTTACTTTGTCCCATTAGTGACCACTCTATTTGTACTGATGACTATCATCTCCAAAAATGAAAGTCAAGGGAAATCTAAAATTTTAGAGCTGTCCCTATAACAAAAGAGATCAGGGGCCATCGAATGGGGGTACTTGTTCTGGGGAAAACGGATTTCCCCCTCACTTTGTGAGACTTCCATTAACCTCCAGTTCTGTTTCTGTGTACATTGGGGATTATTCCTTTCCTCTTCTAGACAACAAAAAATTCCTGGCTGTGGTTTTAATGCTTCCCTACTTTATTCTTCTACTCCTCTACTCTTAAAAAAAAAAAAAAAAAAAAGTGGGCTAAACATTCACCAGCAAGTGAAGTCAAGCGCTATTTCAAAGTTCAAAAACTCTGCAAGTTTCCTTTTGGGATTTTGCTCCCCACCTCCTATGCATAAACTTAATGTATAAATGTACTTTAGAAGCTACAAGCCTTAAAAATAAAAAAAAAAACAATGACAATTAGAATCCCTGCCCAGCAGCAGGCACAAAAAATACAAGATTTTTAGACTTGCTCAATGAACTCCAATTAAGATTTTACAGCAACTCAGGAATTCAGATACAGTTGGATTATACTGCCACCTCCAGGAGGATTGGAGACTGGAAACCAGCAAAATTGCTAAGCCAGCCCCTATATAACCTCCCCTCTATACAACATGCCTCAGCTATTGGAAAAGCTGTACCAAAGGAAACAGGAAAAAAAAAAAAAAAAAAAAAAAAAAAAAAAACACAGGGGTGGGACCAGTACCCCTCAATGGTCTCCAAGAAAATAGATTTTAAGGTAAACAAAAAATGCATTTTCTCTCTAGTCCATTGTCTTGCATCATAGGAATTCAGATACAGTCAGGGCGTCTAAAACCGATAAGTGGGCAACAGCCAGTGACAGGCCCACAAGAAGGGACATGGGACTGTCTGCAACTCAGGACCACCTGAAGGATGAACACCCGAAACTGAGCCAAATGAGGTAAAGCTCCCTGCAGGACAGGGGAAGCTGCCAACGATCAAAAGAGGGCCACAAAAGGTTCAACCTAAAGATGAAGAACAGAAAAAGAGATCATTCTTTGGTTCACCCCTCTGGTGAACACTGAGCCTGAACCAGCAATAGGCTGTGAACCAAACAGGTGGAACATGATAACTACTTCGTAATGGAAAAAACAGACCCACAACATAATGTGGTCAACAGAAACAAACACTGGGGCAAGCCCCTAGGAGAACAGAGCCCCGAGACAAATACAAGACTAGGCTGTCTACAAAGGAAGGCCCAAGCCTTACACTTATAACCCAGACACACAAAAAAGAGGACTTCCTGAAGAAAATGAAGGTGAATAAAAAAAATGAGTCTCTGGGGCCGGACAAAAGAACTGTACGGATGTCAACCCTTGAACACAGAACATGGTTGAAAGAATCTTCTAACCCACTACAGTTCAGGAAAGCATCCATCGCTGTGGAGCAAGAAACAGTAAACCTAACCTCACTGATCAGAACATTTATCTCATTAATGGCAGACTAAGGGAAAGTAAACTGGGGAACAAGAACCTATGCCATTAGAAGGTTCTACATATGTACCCCAACACCAACAGGGGAATCTGTAACAGGGAACCCAGCGTATTACACCTGCTACCAGTTCAGGAGACACCGGGTTTTATTTATTAAAGCTGGAAAGTACAAAATCAGGCTCACTTCTGCACAGAAACCAATCAGCTTCTAACCTCAGCTTGTTTAATTAAGGAACTACATGATCATAAAGACCATGTGGACATCTCAGAGTCCAGACTCTTAGAAAAAGATAGAGGAGCTGGAAAGAACCAAGTGCAACAGAAGAAAGGGAGAGTATCCGGAGACCGGGTTCCCCCAATGCCCCAAACACCCCTGACTGGGGGAAAGAGGTGAACGTCCCAACAAAGATTCAATGGCACACAGTAGACCACCTGCAAATCCCTATTCAATCAAATCTTGCAGAGGGTATGCCCTTCAGAAGCATGTTTAATTCAACGGTACAAAAAGCTGACTCTTCAAAAAAAGGTCTGATCATCCCACAATAGGATGCCTGAACTGGCATCCTCTGAAGGATGCAGGGGGCAATGTCCTTGTTTAGGCAAGGCCAGCCAGAATTAGTCCTGGTTCATCACGTAGGTCAGGAGGTCCCTTTGGATAGGTATACAGTACCATGATGCAGTTAGCAAAACCCATGGACCTTCTGAGGAGGGGATCGGGTGTCCAAACAGGGTGCAATTCCCCATTTGGATGGGAGAAAGGGGTTCCAAGATGTGGGAAAGCTAGGGAAACAGAAGTTGTGATGTTTTTGTGTTGTAGCATAAGACAGACATACAAGGAGTTAGTTTGTGGGCTAAAGGAGTGCTCTCTGCACTCAAGGGTTTGGTAAACTATCCAAGGACCTGTCTGGATACAGTTAGCCTACATTCAAAAGATTTTTCAGTAGGGTTAGCTGACCCCTAGCTCCGAGTCCTTCAGACTGAGCGATTATCAGGTCCCGAAGGTCTATGAGTACCTACTGCCGAAGTAGATGAAGGAGAGAAGTGAAACAATGCTTCTTTTGCTTGAATGGTAGGAAGAGCTTGGCGCTGCTAGAACTCAACTCTGTCCCTCAGCCTAAATCCTTAAGGATATTTGAAAGATTCTCAGAAATGTTAACAAACAGGTCAATGTTTTAGCCCAAGCAGCCTTATTTACAAGTCTTCAGAGACAGTGTCAAATTCATGCCACAGCTCCAGACATGGAAAGGCAACTAAAGCTGGCCATTCACATATAAATCTAACCAATTCCTCTTTCCACACTATATACTGTGGATGAATAAAACTTCTGCTTGTGCTATTGTATTGAACAGTGGCTGAATCTAATTGGATGCAGCCATTGTTCGACCAGTAATTTTCTGCCCAGCTAGTTTGATTTTTCACTTGAAAAATCAGATGGAAGGGTGGAGGCAGGGCCACCTAATGGAATGAAAAACTGCTGCTGTCTCCCAAAGGTCACATTCCAGGCTAGTCCTTTACATCCAGTAGGTCAAGATATGGCCTCCAAAGCTAGGCTGAGCAAATCCAGATAGCTGCTACATAAAGACCTACTCAAGCAGTGGTGTAGCAGGGAATCTTGATTAAAATCACTGAGGCAAAAAAAAAAAAAAAAAAAAAAAATATATATATATAATATATATATATATATATATATATATATATACATATACACACACAAAGATGAGACCTCACCAAGGCTGAGGAAAAGGTGTCTAAACTCAAAGAACTCTAGCAAAAACTAAGGCATCCTGGGTAAAGGAGGGAATTACACAGGGAATGGTTTACAATTTTTTTCCCTTTTCACCAGGGTCCAAACCTGCTGTAGACAGCTGTATATCATGACTATCTGAATTCCTGTGCCCCTCAATGAACCAGAAGGGAGTAGGATCCTTTAAAAGTATCTACTATGTGTTTCTCTGAAACCATTTTCACTTTTTTGGGGACATGACTTTAGAGCCAAGTCCACCATCTGCCCATTCTCCTGTACATAAGCATGCCTCAATGGCTGTTGAAAGGGCATTTGGGGGCTTAGTCACAAAGTCAAAGCAATATCATTTTAACCTGATTACATTAAACTATTACTAGGTGTGGGGCTGAAGACAGGCAGGGACGGGAGTGGGTGGTGATTAGGAAATAAAAAATGCAAAGTCGCCATAAAGTCCCCTTTTCAGGACAAGTAGATTTTCACGAGGGACAAATACAGTGGGGCAAAAAAGTATTTAGTCAGCCACCAATTGTACAAGTTCTCCCACTCAAAAAGATGAGAGAGAGCCTGTTATTGGCATCATAGGTAGACCTCAACTATGAGAGACAAAATGACAAAAAAAATCCAGACAATCACATTGGCTGATTTGGAAAGACTTTATTTGCAAATTATGGTGGAAAAAAAGTATTTGGTCAATATGAAAAGTTCATCTCAATACTTTGTTATATATCCTTTGTTGGCAATGAGAGGTCAAACGTTTCCTGTAAGTCTTCACAAGGTTGGCACACACTGTTTGCTGGTATGTTGGCCCATTCCTCCATGCAGATCTCCTCTAGAGCAGTGATGTTTTGGGGCTGTCGCTGGGCAACACGGACTTTCAACTCCCTCCAAAGGTTTTCTATGGGGTTGAGATCTGGAGACTGGCTAGGCCACTCCAGGACCTTGAAAAGCTTCTTACGAAGCCACTCCTTTGTTGCCCGGAAGGTATGTTTGGGATCATTGTCATGTTGGAAGACCCAGCCACGTTTCATCTTCAATGCCCTTGCTGATGGAAGGAGGTTTGCACTCAAAATCTCACGATACATGGCCCCATTCATTCTGTCCTGTACATGGATCAGTCGTCCTGGTCCCTTTGCGGAGAAACAGCCCCAAAGCTTGATGTTACCACCCCCATGCTTCACAGTTGGTATGGTGTTCTTTGGATGCAACTCAGTATTCTCTCTCCTTCAAACACGACGAGTTGTGTTACTACAAACAGTTCTATTTTGGTTTCATCTGACCATATGACATTCTCCCAATCCTCTTCTGGAACCTCCAAATGCTCTCTATAAAACTTTAGATGGGCCCGGACATGTACTGGCTTAAGCAGGGGGACACGTCTGGCACTGCTGGATCTGAGTCCCTGGCGGCGTAGTGTCTTACTGATGGTAGCCTTTGTTACGTTGGTCCCAGCTCTCTGCAGGTCAGTCACTAGGTCCCCCCGTGTGGTCCTGGTATTTTTGCTCACCGTTCTTGTGATCATTTTGACCCCACGGGGTGAGATCCTGCGTGGAGCCCCAGATCGAGGGAGATTATCAGTGGTCTTGTATGTCTTCCATTTTCTAATTATTGCTC